CTAATTTTTCCTGTGAAAAAAATCGAAAAAACACAATGCTAAGTAATATTTTTTAACAAAATGCATTCGTGCAGGTGCAAAAATCCTCCTCTTCGACTCGTATTTTTGTTACCACCAGCACTCATGCTTTTTGTTAAAATATTACTTAGCAACGTGTTTTTTCGATTCTTTTCGGAAAAATTAAATGCCCTTATGATATTACTTACGATAATCGCCCAGCCCTAGTCTGCACAGGTGCCGTTTTAAGGTTATTGGTCTTATAAGTACGTTATGCTTGCCTTTAAATAATATTATAATATTTCTTTTTGCTGAAGCCCCATTTTGAAATATTGTTTTATTAGTGTATAAACAAGATCCATAGATACCTATTAAAAACTAAATTGGTTCTACTATAGAGAGAAGAAAGAATAAACTTACCTTTTATTATTAGGTTTATCCTACAATTGTAACTTGAACTTACAATTGCAACTTGAACCTACAATTGTAAGTTCAAGTTACAATTGTAAGTTCAAGTTACAATAATTGTAACACAAAACATTCTCTTTACTTTTACTGTGAAAAACTGCTTCTATATCTGGTCGCTAGTCCGTTTTTACGAAGGCGTAGAAGGGCCAACAAAAATTTTACAAGTTTTAGCCAAAATTAACTTTGATTTTTGCAATTTCTATTCTATAATTGTAACTTGTACTTAAAATTATAGAGAATGTTTTGTGGGCACTCCACGGTGGAGTCTTCACCCGAAATTTTTAATACTTTAGGTATCCGTTAAATCTAGTTTAATGCCGGCCAAATTATTCAATTAAAAGGTCAGTACAAACTTAATAAATATTGACGTTGATAAACTAATTAATACTTTTGTATTCAATAATTTTTGTATTAAGGTAAGGTAATAGTATTATTTCACAGAAAGGGCACTTTATTTTAACGATTGTATGACATTTGACAACTGTCAACTAACTTAAAGCTAACTTTAGCCCGTGACTAAAAACATGTTGCTTACACATATTCGATAATGGGCGTTTTAAAGGTGGGAGTAGAAAAATAAAATATTTTTCAAAACAATTGAAGTTTTTTAATATATAAAGTAAAACATAAGAGAAAAAAGATTCTGCATCTCACATATTGTCTTATAGTATTATATTATATTATATTATATTATATTATATTATATTATATTATATTATATTATATTATATTATATTATATTATATTATATTATATTATATTATATTATATTATATTATATTATATTATATTATATTATATTATATTATATTATATTATATTATATTATATTATATTATATTATATTATATTATATTATATTATATTATATTATATTATATTATATTATATTATATTATTTTATATTATATATGAATTTTGATCATTTCCAAATTTAAACTGTACCCTGGGGCATTTTGGAACAATATTATGTAATATAGATTTTTTAAATTACATGGTTAATAATATTTTATTATATTTAATTACCTAATTTATTGAATTATATTGGTTAACTTTTATTGAATTTATTTCAGAAATAATGAGATAACTTTTATTAATATTTAATTAAATAATTAAACTACCAACAAGAAAACGTAATCAATCATTTACCTACATAAGATTCTTAAGATTAATGAGTTTTATTAAAGAAATTATAAATTATGAAAAGAAACATTAAACTTATCTTGTTACTTCGATTATAATGTAATTTACTTAATATTTAATGGTTGCTCTCCATCAAAATTACCTTCTGAGACTTTCAGTTCTTAGTTATCAGGCAACTTTTGTAAAAAATTTAACAGGATTTAAACTTATAAATTGCATTTTTATAAAATAAGTTTTTGTAGGAGGCGATAAATAACCACAGAAAGATTAACTTTGAAAAATTAAAAAAGATGTTTATATTCAAGTGTTTAATTCTTTAAGCTTCTTTATTGTCAACGCTCACTATCAAAGTATTCGATTTTCTCCTAGGCTGTAAAAATAATTTAGACCTATCAGATGAAGTTTTTACTATCCAAGTCTGTAACAAAACCCGTTAGAACCAATCAAAAAATTCCATCTGTTGACATTTCAAAGCTATCTAACCTAACTTTATACTTTTAATAATTGTTATTATAATTGTACCAAATTTTCAGGGTTTGTATAATATTTTATGTTCTTTTTAATGGGCCCATTTATAACTTTTTTACTCATGCAAAAAAAAGTTAAAAAGTTAGCCTTTTTTTAAAAGCTAAAAATAAAAGGTAAACTTTTTAAAAATAAAAAACGCTTCGAGGGGTATATGCCAAAATAAGCTGAATTTTTCATAACTTCTAATAATTTTGAGATAGTATTCACGAAAAAAATTTCTGTATAAATTATGAAGTGTCCGAACATTATGTGGTTAGGGCTCGTATGTGTAATTACGAGATATCTGGATAAAATTGCGCTAATTGTTTTTTAACTGTGATTCGGTTAAATAGGAAAAATGTTTCCCTCAATTAATCAAGTTTGCCATTTTAGTCAAGAATTTAATTGAGCGAGCGAGCTTGCTAGCAAGTGCTTAATCAATATAGTTTTTCCTCCGAGTTTTTCTACTAAAAATTATTATTATTATCTAAAAATTATTTAATTTAAATATTTGTAGTTTATTGCCGGCCAAAGTCTTATATTAGACCGTGCTGGTCCAAGAATGAATACTATATTTTCTAGGTAGGTCGCTTTATACAAATACCTATATAACTTAAATTATTTTCTGGATAATAATTAGTATTGTCGTAGAAAAAGTAAAGTATGCAACTCGTTTATAAACTGTTCTAGAAACCCATTTAATTAAATTAAATTCGTGACTAAAATGGCGTTTATAAAACTTATAATATTTGTTATGGTTTTTGTTATTGTTTTTAAATTTTAATATTAATACAAATGAGAGCTAGCTAATTTGGCATATATGCATAATTTATCAGATTATTATCATAAAAACTATGTACCTATATTAAAATTAAAAATAATTTACCTTGTGACTTCTTGACTTTAAAAATAGAATTAACGACATTACAAAGTATTATGTTTATAAGAGAAATAAGGAACAATATGCTTTATTATGCTTAGTTATTATTTTTAATAGATATCATTGGCAAATTATTAATCATTGTGATTATATTGTTGTCTCTAATTAATAGTTATTAAAACTTCTATTTTGTGTCCTGTCTATAAAAGAGTAGTTTTTCTTTATCATTCCATCTTGCAAAATGAGTTTGTCTATGCCATATTACTCTTGGCATATGCACACGAAATTTCCTCATCATTATCACCTACCTACATAATATATCAAACATATCCATTGCGATATGATATTTATTGCGTTATGATTACAGCAGAAAAATCCCAAGTGCATTGACCCTAATTTTTTATTTTTGAATGTGTTTAAAGACAGCAGATTTTGCATATTGAATTTACAGAAAGCCCCATGCTTTGAAATCCAAAAAAAAAATTGGTCAAGGCTTAGGTCACACAATATACCCAAATTTAAACAAAATCGGATAACTCCCCTTACGTATACGTAAGGCTATAGCCATTTTTCTCCTGAAATAATGAAATCCATAAAAATTATTATAGTAATAAAGCCTGCTATATCAACTATTATTTTATACACGCAACCCATTTAAATTAACCTTATTGTAAATACGTTACATTCCAAGTACCTACGTAATCTGTAATATATTCGAAAAAATTTAAAATGCGTTTTAGTATTAATAGGTATTTAAAATAATACATTTTATTTTGTTGGGTCTCAATTTATAGAATTTATATAGAATTAAATTTATTTATTTAAAACTTTTTATCACACTTTTTTTTAATCGATGTTTTCTATTTCTAGACCATTAATATTATGATTTTAATATATTTTATCAAATGAATGTTTAATTCCTCTAGTTCCAGAAAAGATCAAAAGTATTCTTGAAAATTTTATTAGGTTTTGTACAGTTTGTGGAGTGCAGGATTAAAATAGATTTAATATTATTTTTAACATAATCTACTTATTTACTTAAATTTTAGTATTTTATATTTAAATTTAGAATTTAAATATATTATCCGAATTCACTTTTAAAGGAAAATATTACCTACATAGATTTACGATCTTTTAGCATGATCCTTTTAAAATAAGGACGTTGATCCTATCCATACTTCAGAGACATTCAGACTTGAACTAGCATTACTATACAGGGTGTAATATAAAGGTTAGGACAAAATTTAACGTTGGATTAATTAGTAAAAAATAATAGTTTCTCATACTGAGAAAGTCATGCTCTACGGGTTTTTGTTTCCAAGTTACAGAGTACTTTTAATTTATTTTATTAACTTACGAACACTAGACAATCGATATTTTAACTATTGTTTTATCATGGCATATTCGATCCTGTTACTTTGTTCTGCAGAAAGTTAATATTTACAAAAGGTTTATTAACGGGAAAACGAAAATAAATTTAAAGAAAATATAAGAGAATTTTTTTATTAAAAAGTAAATTTTTGAAAATAAACAAACAAATATTTTTGTCCAGTGGGGTAGGTACCATATTTTTGTATAAAACTCTACGGCAATATTAAATAAAATTATTTGTTATTAAACAGAACTTCATGTAACTTAAAAACAAAATTCTGTTGAGCTTAACTTCATAAAAAACAACTGTTATTATTTACCAAGGAAATCACCATTTAATTTTTTCTAAACCTTTCTCAAACTGCATTCTTAAATTAAAATTGACGTTTAACTTAACTAAATAATTATTTAATTATTAATAATAAATAGTTATAATAATTATTTCTTAATTATTTAAATAAACATAATAATACATCTGATTTTAATACCTTTGTTTGTACAAATCACTTTAATAATATATGCGTGACTCAGTTCTTGACCTGCGGTATTTAAATTCCAGTAGCGGTTAAAAACAATAAATTGATTGTATATAAAAGATAAGATATTCATTGATTTTCCCATCTAGTGCGTAAACCTTTAAGAAAATTCATTGAAAAAAATGATTAAACAATGCACATCATGCAATATAAATACTTGGGAATCTTTGATAACCAACTATAAAATCACCCAGTAAATCAATCAGATTTCAGTACAGATATAACTTCTAAACTACTAATTGGTAAGTAATTTATATTTAAAACTAACAAAGCATTAAAACTATTTTTTTTAGAAATCATGAAAGCTTTTGTTGCTTTCCTAGTCCTTGCTATCGCAGCTTTGCAATGCGAAGCTAAGGTTTACAACAAATGCGAGTTTGCGAAGACTCTTCTTCAAGCTGGATTTCCAAAAGATCAAATTGGTACTTGGTCTTGCATTGCTGAACACGAATCTCATTACAATACAAAAGCTATTAACCATTCCTCTGGCGATTATGGTATTCTTCAAATCAGCAAATTATACTGGTAAGGCTTTTGGCAAAAGAGTTGAAGTTTATGTTTTAAGATTTTTTGCCTAAAATATTTTGATTAATATAATTTCTATTTTTAGGTGCAATGAAGGTAACACCCCCGGAAAAGGATGTGGAATAACCTGCAACAGTCTTCTTGGAGACGATATCTTTGGAGATTTGACATGCGTCAAGAAAGTTTTCGAAGAAACCAAAAAATTTAAAGCCAATGGTTTCGAAGCTTGGACCACCTATGGCTCTTGCAGAGGAGATCAAAGTCGTTATGTAGCTGGTTGTTTTTAATTTAATATTTAATTTATTTGGATGTACCTCCCTATTGTGTTTTTCTGTTATTGATCTTTAATAATAAATTAAATTACTAATTTTTTCTGTATTAAACCCTTAATTTTTTCATTGAAATAATATATACGGTTTTTATATATTTACTTAATTAAACAAAAACAAGTTTAGTGAAAAATATTAAAACATTTATAATAGATCATTTTAATTACATGTATTTTAACAAAAACATTGCAAAAGGTATCAAAAATACGTATTTATATTTTGTATACTGTTCTTTTTAAGATCTTTATTGCCTTGAATTACAAATAATACTTTAAAAGAAAATTTATTTACAATTATTGTTTTTATTGTATTTTTATTAATTCTATTAATTCTTTAAAATATAAAATATTTTTTATTATTTTTTAGTTTAAAAAATGTATACAGGGTGTCATGTAATAATTTGTTATCCCTTGGGGGGATGATCACTTTTGCCGGTTTTTCAATTAAGGTTTAAACCTTGGTTCAGGGGAACTTAGATCAGTTAATGAACTCAGTTCACAGTCAAATGAGTTTTTCAATGTCGACTCAACTCTGTTGAACTTAGATCAGCGGTGTCAACGTTAAGTTGGTACAACCGAATTTAGTATACGCCTACATTAATAGTAGTTAAAACTGTAATTTTGACAAAAGGATTTTGTGTTTACTTTTGGAGTTTTGTTTATCTGTGCTGTTTTAAAAAGTTATAATCTGTGAGAAAGGGTGCTTTAAAACAATTTACTATTGTTAAAGAACAATTATTATTATTTATTATGGATAAAAATCGTGCTGCCAACTTTACCTCTTTTAAGGAGGAATTATTTGTATGTATTTCGTTTTATATTATAAAATAAATTTGTCGTTTTTTGTTACATGTGATGAATTTTACTAAAATCTATTACCTATTCAGTAATTATTTTTATAACTAACCTATTGGTCGGATTTGCAATAACTGGTCCAATTAAATCCACTATCATACGTACAAAAGGTTTGGAAACCCGAAATCTGGCAAAAAAATTATCATTAATCCACTTTTCAAAATGATTCGGTCTTACCCGTGGCCTGTGCACACGAAGTTGAATATTATTTAGGAATTCGCTAATTTCCTCATCATCCTCACTAACTACCTCAAACATATCCATTGGTTTATTATAACAGCAGATTACAAAACAAGAAATAAACAACGTAATACACAATAAAGCATAGAAAAATTAAGTTATGTCAAGTTGAACTTCGTTTAAACGGCCAACAGTGACAGTTTATCTTTTGATTTAGTTTAAACCAAATTCAAGCTTGAACTTTGATTGAAAAACGGCATATTTTGTTTGAACCAAGTTCAAATGCTGAACCAAGTTTAAACTATGATTAGGGTTTAAACCTTGGTTCAGGGGAACTTAGATCAGTTAATGAACTCAGTTCACAGTCAAATGAGTTTTTCAATGTCGACTCAACAGCAGTTCTGTTGAACTTAGATCAGCGGTGTCAACGTTAAGTTGGTACAACCGAATTTAGTATACGCCTACATTAATAGTAGTTAAAACTGTCATTTTGACAAAAGGATTTTGTGTTTACTTTTGGAGTTTTGTTTATCTGTGCTGTTTTAAAAAGTTATAATCTTTGCAAAAGGGTGCTTTAAAACAATTTACTAATGTTAAAGAACAATAATTATTATTTATTATGGATAAAAATCGTGCTGCCAACTTTAATTCCTCCTTAAAAGAGGTAATTACCTCTTTTAAGGAGAAATTATTTTGTATGTATTTCGTTTTATATTTTAAAATGAATTTGTCGTTTTTTGTTACATGTGATGAATTTTAATAAAATTTATTACCTATTCAGTAATTATTTTTATAACTAACCTATTATTAATATATGAATAAAAACAACACTGTTTTAAAGTTTCACTAATTTATTTATGTTTTTAATAATTAACAATTGTTTCGCTACACAGTAGCTTCTTCAGAATTCTGAAGAAGCTACTGTGTAGCGAAACAATTGTTAATTATTAAAAACATAAATAAATTAGTGAAACTTTAAAACAGTGTTGTTTTTATTCATATATTAATAATATGGAGTTTCATCAAGTAAAGGTCGAAACAATCAACAATAACTAACCTATTGGTCGGATTTGCAATAACTGGTCTAATTAAATCCACTATCCTACGTACAAAAGGTTTGGAAAACCGAAATCTGGCAAATTCATCATTAATCCACTTTTCAAAATCATTCGGTCTTACCCGTGGCCTGTGCACACGAAGTTGAATATTATTTAGGAATTCGCCAATTTCCTCATCATCCTCACTATAGTGATATGTTTGAGGTAGTTATAACTACCTCAAACATATCCATTGGTTTATTATAACAGCAGATTACAAAACAAGAAATAAACAACATAATACACAATAATGCATAGAAAAATTAAGTTATGTCAAGTTGAACTTTGTTTAAACGGCGGGAATGCTTGTAAGAGTAATTTTGAGCAATTTTGAGTCACTTACTGTATTGAAGGAAAATTTCATAAAAGTATACAAAACTTGAAATTTAATAGAAATTAGTTAACTGTGTGTTATAAATGAAGTCTCAAAAATGATTAAAACTAGAACCAGCTACCTGTTATGCAGTCTATTATTTTCCAGGTTTAAAAATTGTATACCCTAATACCACCAGAATTATCTATTTTCAGAAATATACTAATAACTTTCATCGAAATAATAACTTTGCCGTAAAAGTAAAAAAAATCAGAAAATGTACACAGAGTTTAACTTTCACTTCGAATAACTTTTTAACGAGTGATTTAATCTAAAAATTATAAGAGACCTTTTTTGTAGAGCGTTCAATTTACTATAAGAATATATATGTCTCATTAATGTAAGTCATTTTGCCTGGGAAAAAAAGAATTAATTGAAAAAAGTGTCAAAATCCCATGTAATTTGAATGGGAAATATATCGTCTTTGGGGCAAGGTTTATTATGAATATTAAGAGTTTATTTTGGTCTGAAATTTTTTTTTAGATGATAGACTAAAAATTTAGGGGGCGTCGCAAGAAAAAAAATCAACTTGGTAAATAACGGACACCCTACTGTATATAGTATATTATACAGGGTCGGTTTTGGTTGAACCACACAGCATCCGAATGGGCGAATATACACCGTGTCCAAAGTTATCTGCTCACCATTGCCAACTCAGTTTTTATTGGAGCTTCAAAGTACGTTAAAATAGAAAATTGGTGACATTCTTCTGATTAAAATATTGAAAACAGAAAAATTGTACTTCCGGTTGTCGAAATATTTACAAAAATAACGTAGGACACCATGTACATTTTTAAATATTTTGGAAAATAATTTAATTTGAAAATCAAAATTATTATTGTATATCTACCCTAAGCTTAAAAATAAACAAATATTAAGCACTTGAACTTTCTCATTGTTGTTAAAATAAAATAATAAAGTAATAAATAAGTTAATTATTTTAACTAGAGACAGGGCCGTAGCTTGAGTTGAAAAGGCCCCGGGGCGAAGCAAAACTTGGGGCGCCATATCAAAAGCACTTACTATAGAATAAATATAGGGTGAGAATGACTTCGTTGATGACGAGATTAATTGTTTACATCTTATATAATATTTATTGTTTACATCTTATATCAACTTGTGGAAACAGTAATTCGGCCCTGATTGCTGACATTTTGTTATAAACGCAAAAAATTACAACTACAAATTTTTGTCTAGATTTTACAGAAGAAAATTCGTTTATTACTTTATTAAAGTCAATTTTGCGCGCTATTCGATTTTTAATACAGTAGCGCTAAATTACTAAGTCTATTTTGTCTCATTGAGGTACGCAAGTAGTTTTTAATCAATTTACGGGCTAACTGTTTGACATTTTTCATTGAACTGATCTCTTTCTAAAATGTCAACCGTACAGAAAGCAACTGAGAGGATCATTCGCGAAAGTTTTGGAAAACAGATGAGCCTCTTGCTCCAACTCGCTCTTCGATGAATTTGTGAGATATTGAGGTTGTAGGATTTTATAAATATTGAGAACATTTCATTCCAACAAATCTAGTTTCAAGTTTCGATGATATTTTATCTATCATCAGGTAAAAATATTTACTCGGAAGCGTTGTTGAGGATCATTTAATCTCTCATCTTGAGACAATTCATCAAAGTGAGACTTTACCTTACGTGATCTTTTGTCTAGGAACTTTCTCTCAATTTTACACAAATTTCTGACACATTTATCTGTAACGAATCAAAAATGTTCTCTTAAGCTCTGGATTCTCTGAAACGCATTTTGAAGCTGATCATGTGCAAAAAAAGATCGATTTTTTCTGATTGCAATAATTTGGACGACACGTTCATTATTTGCATTATTTTGTCTTGAAGGATGAGGAGAAAAACAAAATCAAAAGTTTCAATTTTTTTTTTGAATCCCCAACGCCATGTTCCTCTCGCTGGACTTTTTGACTAGCAAAATTGATTTTTATCACCTTAGCTCAACTAATATGTTTTCGATCATGTTTATTTTGTTTGGGTATTGAAGAAAAAAATGTTTGCAACATGTCCAGATAAGGCTAAATATTTTTTCCTTCTTATCCCCTGCTCGGGGCCCCTCCGAGTCGGGGTCCTAGGGCACGGCCCCGATTGCCCCATTGAAGATCCTGCCCTGACTAGAGACCCTTAACTATAATTTCAACAGCCATCAGAAACTTCAAGTGCTTAATTGTTAATTTTTAAGTTTGGGGTAGTTATCCAATTAGATTTATTTTCTTCCAAATAAGTGTTTTTAAAATATGTAAGAATATACAGGGAGTCCCTTTTAAAAAACTGTTATTCTTGTAAATATTTCGGAATTTTGATAAGAAAAAAAAATGCCACCAATTTGCTAATTTAACCGTCTGTGGCTCCAATAATAATAATAATAATAATGGAGTTAGCAAAGGTGAGCAGATAACTTTGGACACGGTGTATAAACATGTATTATGTGAATGGAATTAGTAATTTTATAGTCTGGTATTCACTTTTATCAATTTGATATTTTGTATTTTTGATTTATGTATTTAATTTAGTTGTCTAGAGCAGATCTTTCCTTAAGGCATTGTTAAGAACGTTTTT